GTAGTATGTTATGCCAATTGAGCTTGATCTCCCCTGTGACTATGGTCCTGAGCCCACACGTTCAACTATTCAGTTCCTCTGGGTAGCTGACTGTGACCAAGAAGTGACTACAACCTTGTCCCTCATCAGCTCTACTATACACCTGGGAGTTCAGATCGTATAAATACACTTACAGGACCATTGTCTGCCAACCCTATACAAGGTCTTGGGTACACTCCCCACTTCATAGACGTATCTAATAGTTCAGCCTGTCCACCCATCTATCCACCCGTACACCCATGTTTGCCTTCACTGACAATGCAGTGTATGTGCAAAAGGGTTCATCTTTGTTGTCTGTACCTCCCCTGTACCTTTCTCTGTCTTCCTCTTCCTCAATGTCACCATGTTGATCTGGTTTTATAATTTTTAAGGAGCTGAACAAAACTGGCTTTCACAGATACAATTATCAAATATTTTATATACTTAAATTCGTCTGTCAGTTTGTCATACTGTGGTGGTTTGCATGTTGCTGTGATGCTGGAAGCTATGCCACTGATATTTCACATATCAGCAGGGACACCGTGGATGGAAATATTTCAGCAGAGCTTCCAAACTAAGACAGACTAGGAAGAAGGAAGAGGTGGTCCACTTCTGAAAAAATTAACCACTGAAAACCTTTTGAAGCGCACTGAAACATTATCTGATACAATGCTGGAAGATGAGCCTCTCAAGTTGGAAGGCACTCAAAATACAACTGGGGACCTCAAATGTTCCTCACAGTAGGGGACCTTAACTTTGGTAAAGTAGAAGGTCAGTGAAAAAAGGAAAGACCTTCAATCAGATGGATTGACACAGTGGCTGCAACAATCGGCTCAAGTATGACAACAATTGTGAGGATGGTACAGGACCAAGCAGTGTTTCATTTTGTTGTACATGGGTTGCTATGAGTTGAAACTGACTTGAAGGCACTTAGCAACAACAACAAATTTATTAGCAGAGCCTGAAGCAAAACGCAGCCATAAATTTATTTTTTCAATTAGTATTATCTATTGAGCAACTGCTATGTGCAAACTGTTATGTGTTAATGAGAAAATTAATAAATTACAAGTGTTCCAATTAATAAAATTAACTGCAAATTAATGAATTAGAAGAGAGTTGTTACATGTAAGGCACTGTCCTAAATACATTATATATGTTATCTCAAGATAGAGTCTGTAAGCAAAGTACTATTCCTCTTATACAGATGAGGAATCTGAGTCTCAGAGAAGTAACTGAACCAATGTCATGCTAAGGGAAGAGGCTGGGCCAGAATCTGAACCGAGGCCCATCATGCCTCTAAAACTTGTGCTGTTAACTACTAAACTATATATAATCTTAAGCTCAATTTTTTTTTCAACTTGAACATTGCCCTTTAATTTTACTGTTATTTTATCTGAGATTTTGTACTTAAGAGTTAGAGCAGGGAAAAACAAAACAAATACAGGTATGCCCTGCAGTTTCAACTTATATACTTTCCAAACAGACCTAAAAGTGCTCAGCAAGGGATAGAAAAAAAGGAGGATGACGAAACTCTGCTTGACCTATGTCTTTAGGTTGCCGACAGAAGTTGTGTGCAACCCTGCTCTCAGCAAACAATTCATCATGGATGCCTGGTCGGTAGAATAAACAGGCAAGCACCATGACAGTCAGTCTTCATACAATTTCCTCTGTAGCCAGCAACACAATCTCAGTTCATTTTTCACCATATCATCTAATGAAGATTTCAGCTTTAATTAGTATTTTCTGCTACAGAAATATTTAGACATTTCTAGACAGGAGTAGATGTTGGAAAGTAAAAATACAAAACGTTGTAATTTACCCTGCCATTAGAGGAAAAATAAAATATTCTCCCTTGCCCTATGAGCACAAGGCTTGGCAAATACAGTGAAGTGAACGAGTCCAAAAGTCATGATTTCTGGCAGAACACTTTTCATCACAAAGGAGATGACTGTTAGTCAGATACTTACTTATCTACAAGAGTTCGTATTACTGCCAGTGTGTCCAGCACCAGCCCATCTACATTTTGTTTCTTTCTCCTCGGCTCATGTGGTCCTCGGCCCCTCCTTGGTGGCCGAACAGGGTCCCGGGGGTGGCTCCTTGTGTCAGCGGTGGGTACTGCACTGTTCTCAGACTGTTGCTGCTGGGTGTCAACACTGTCTTCTGCTCCACTGTCATCTCGGCAGATACAAGAATTGCCCATGGTAGTGGTGCCTCTCGTCCCCAGGAAGCGGGCTATGTGTTCCTCGAGAGTCAATAGCAGACCCCGGCCAAGGCTTCTGCTTGCTAAGAACACAGCCCAACCAAAGACAATCATTTAGATAGTTTTCAGTTTTCCAAGTACCATTTTCATTATCTGGAGCTGAAGAACTTTCATTCTATTTGTTTTTAACAAGTGAACACCAAAGAAAGTTGCAGAGCTGATCTCCAACATTATCAACTACAAAGGGTACTACTGGTCATGCAGTGGCAGTTCTAGAAAAAAAAGAGGAGAGGAAAATGAAAATTAATTGAAGATTCTTGGTCAATTACTCAAATTTTCCTACTTTGATTTTATAGACCTTAGGATTACAATGAAGAACCATCTTTGGTTATTTTTATAGGTTTCTAACATAAAAGGTATCTTTGGATAAACAGAATCATAATCAATCAATAATTCCTTTTTATCATTATATTTTAAAGTTGAATGCCAAAACATATCTTTGCTAAGAACCACAGGCATTACACCCATTTTTTTTTTTTTTTTAATATTCTTCCTATCTGTACAGAAATATGCAAGATAAATCTGTGTTATTTTTCTAGGGCTCCTTTTGTAAATTAAAAAAATGAATTGTCTTTTTAATTTAAACATATAGGAAAATATATTTCAAATAAAATATCTAGTTACGGGTGTTTGTTATTAAAAATTATGATACAAACGTGACACCACCCATTAGGTATCAAGAAAAAAAAGAAGTGTTACACTTGTATTTCCTAAGTGTAGGTTTTGTAATTGGAGACTCTTCCGAATTTACAGAGATCACACAAATAGATACAACTCTTTTTTGTTACAGGAGCAATATTGTTTTTGGATTGGCAAGTTTATATCCCAAAGTTACATTTTCACAATAATGAGCAGTTTATAGCAACATGTCAGCTACAAAGTTAAGTATCAGCATGCAGCAGTTACCTTTGCAAATACTGACTAAGCACCTAGTGCCAGGCCCCATGCTAGACCGGGCTAGAAGAAAAAAATGAAAAAGGCACAGCCCCTGCCCTCCAGGAATTCAAGGATGGCCATTCTCATTTCACAGAGAATGTTTTATCATCAAACAACCTAATGATAGAAGCAGCTCTTCATTAAACAGAAAATCTCATTATGTTCTGTAAAAAAGAAAAGATTTAGAAGGAGTAAAGCATGGGAATGGCAGTCCCTATTCAACATTTGGCTATTTACAATTAATTTCTCAAAAACTGAGCACTGACTCAGAAATAGATATAAATAAAATTTCTAATTCACTGGGATTAGCAGCAAGAGAAATATTACTTCTGTTATTCTGGACAGATTTGCAGAAAATTCTTTTCAATATTTGCCCAGTTTCCTTACTCTTCATAGGGCAACAAAAGAAGAAAAAGACAACATTACCTCCCTCCAGACACTATACCAAGACAGCAATGACTGAGCCAAGAAATATCAGATGGTCTTGGTTCCCAAAAACCATTTAGGCTGTCTTCAAAATGTGGAGGTTGTATTATAAAAAGACAGGACTAAAGTCTAGGTAAGAGCTGCAAGGACTCAGCTGGAAATAGTTTTTTTTTTTTTTTTTAAAAAAAGAGAACATATTCTAAACCAGCAAAGAGTTGAAGTAATGTCATTCCCATTAATGCAGAGGCCAGGCTACTGTTTTCCTCCTGAGGGTAGATAACTAAGATTTCATTGCTTAAAAGGACAGAGGAGACAGAAATCAGAAATAACTCCTTTTATGGGTTCCTGGTACAAATTTCTATTGATCTCATAAATTATGCGGTTTCTGAGAAAGAGCAAAAAACAACATTAAGGAGAAGCTGTGCTTGGGTCCTTGTCACACAAAGTTCACAGAGCCTTCTTGTACTGTCGGGATGATTCAGACAAGAGAAAGCAGAGTCCAAAGTTTTCTAGCAGCTTTGACACTGGGTGGTAGCCCAGTTTATGTGCCACTAGTGCACATCCTTGGAATCCTTCCCCTAAAGTATCATGTTGAAAATTTTTTTACCTATTAAAAAAAAAAAGCATGCTGATTTTGAAAACACAAATGCTGCACAAGTCCACAGCATTTGACTCATGAAAACAAAAGCCCCTCTTTTGCTCTACCACCTCCTTTCCCAGAGGTAACCCTTGTTAAAAACTTCATATGTTTGCTTCCACACCTTTAATTACGCACTTACAAAGTAGTATTTTTTAACCTGACTAGGATGATGCCAAGGAGGTCTGGTGGCTTAGTGCCTAAGGCATCTATCTGACTGGCAACCAAAAGGCTGGTGGTTCAAACCCACCAGCCACACCACGGAAGGAAGACTGGGCAATCTACTTCCGTAGTGATACAGCCTTGGAAACCCAATGGGATTGCTATGAGTTGGAATCAACTCAATGGCAGTGTTTATTTTTTGTTTTGGAGGATGATGTCATAATGCTTTTCTGTGATTTGCATTTTTTATGTAATAAATTTTTCCACAAAGGCTCCCTGGTGGCACAGTGGTTAAAGAGCTTAGCTGCTAACCAAAAGGCTGGCAGCTCAAACCCACCAGCTGCTCTGAGAGAAAGACGAGGCACTTCCACTCTGTCCTATGGAGTTGCTATGAGTTGGGATCAACTCAACAGCAGTGGGGTTTATATACAGAGCTACTTCATCTTGTTTAAAGGTTGTATATAAATCCATACTATGGACTGTCATAATTTCCCAACCACGATGCTACAAAAATCTGTGGCTAAACCAACTAATACTTCGTAGACGTTGGAAGGATTGATGTTGTTATGTGCCATCTGGTCAGACCCGACTCATAGTGACCCCTCCTTAGGTTTCTGAGGCGGTATCACTACGGATGTAAATTGCCCAACCTTCCTTCCAAGGAGTGGCTGGTGAGTTTGAACTGCCAGCCTGCTAGTTAGCTAAGGTGAGATTAAGCCCCAGAAAACAAAGTCTTGAAGACGAGAGAACGATGGATCCTATGAAGTTACAACTTAATGTCAACATTTGTAAAGATACTTAGAATGAACAAGGACAGTGTTGGGAGTGCTCATGAGGAAAGCAGTAGGTTTATAAAGAAGTTTGCTAGATCACAAATTCTTAAAACTTTATTCTATCCACATTCTCCAACATCAATTTAGAAACTGAATGTAGAATAATTAATCTATGTAGATTTCCATTTAGCACACTTTCAAAGTGATTGGAAGATATTTAATACATGGAAGTATTTTAAAATATATGACTAAATTTGGAGGTGATAAAAGAAAAATTAAGGTTTTTTTCCTATTTCCAGACTGAACTCAAGTCAGTTCTCTCCTATGAGGCTTCTATTTTTCCTTAAGTGACCTAGTAATTTATGTCAAATATAAAACTCATCAGAGAAGGAATTGGAGTTTTTTTTTTTTTTAATAAAGGTTTTCAAATATTTTTTAAAATCAAATATTTAAAAAATGGAAAATGATTAAGACTAGAAATTATGTGAAGGCAATATACCTGTATATCTATATATTTCACCTTAAACATAAAGATTACTTCACATCAGTCAAATCAATATTTTTTAATTAAAAAAAAAAAAAGACTATAAACAACAGGTGTAAAGAAGAGGTTAATTAATTGAAGGAAGCCTTGCGACATCTCACAAAGGAAAGATTAATGAAATATGTGAGGAAAAAACAAGAGTTGCCATCTTTAAGGAATTTCTGCACTAAGCATGCAGAATACTTCAGGGTTACAGCCAAGGAGGGGGGCACCCATAAACAAGTACAAGACCTCTCAGGTTTTCTCAGCACTCACAACGTGTAGCTTTGCATTTGGAAAAGGTAAATCACTCACGATACTTTTCTCAGAGAAGAAACTGTGAATACTGTAGGAAAAAGCTTAGATGATGAACCAATTATACTTTAGTCAGCTTTGTTTTATTTAGTTCAAATAAAGCATTATGTGGCCCACCTTGCAAGAATCATAGTTTTAAGACAATAACACAAAGCCTACAAGCTCTTTTATAGGATGCCAGAAACCACCTGCAGCACAGCGCAGTCAGACAGATCCAGACACAGTCCCAAACTATGTGTTTATTGCTATGTGTCCTAATTAATCCCAATTAATTTAGTATTTTACAAAATAGAGATAGTAAGAGTATTTACGACCTCACAGTATCAATGTGAGGATTAAATGAAATAGTGCAGTTAAACATGCAACAAAATGCCCAACACTTAAACTGGATCCACAAATGTTAGAGCATGTAGCTAATCAGAAGTAACTAATCTGGAAGGTGGGGCCTCTGGAGTAAGATCTGAGTTAAAAGCACTAAGAGCATAGCCTCCCTTACAGAATTCATTTACCCTGTTCCTAAATAATTTTTACTTATCTATATTTTTATTAAGTAAAAATTATTCAAGAACAGAGTGAATGAATTCTATATTTTTATTTATATACCCACCTACACTTTTTGACTAAGAACCTGATTACAGCTTAATCATTTCATAGGTAGCACTGGAATTGTTCAGGGTACTTATCAAAATGTAAATGCCTAGTCTCACTCCAAATAGTCAGAATCATCTAGGGTTTTCCCCAGGTGATTCTGACGGCAGCCAGGTCTGGAGACCACTATGCTATAGAGCCTAACACAGGATCTGGCATAGCAGGCATGAAGGGGTAAATCAGACACTCTAAACAGAATGCCACTAAAGGGTGATTCTTCTGGGGCCAAAAGTTCTCCCTTTCTATAAAAATTAACAGTGACTATCTTTGAACATAGCCCTTCAGAAAAAACAGCCAAAATAACCACCAGAACATAGTTAACATCCATTGTTGTTGTTGTTGTTATTATGTGCCATCCAGTCGGACCTGACTCATAGCGACCCCTCTTTGGGTTTCCAAGGCAGTATCACTACAGAAGTAGATTGCCCCATCTTCCTTCCGAGGAGTGGCTAGTGGGTTTGAACCGCCAGCCTTCTGGTTAGCAGTCAAGTGCTTAGGCACTATGCTACCAGAGCTCCTTAATATCCATTAGCGACTATTTAAAACAAAACAAAACAAAACACCTCACTGCTGTCAAGTAGGATCCAACTCATAGCGATCCCTCCTTGGGTTTCCAAGGTGGTATCACTACAGAAGTAGATTGTTCAACGTTCCTTCTGAGGAGTGGCTGGTGGGTTCAAACCCACCAGCCTTCTGGTTAGCGGTCAAATGGCTTAGGCACTAGGCCACCAGAGCTCCTATTAGTGACTATATGTAGTATATATAACCACAATGGAAAAAAAAAGAAAACCA